TATTAAAAAAATCAACAAAAAAAAAAAAAAAAAAAAAAAAAAAAGAAAAAAGAAAAAAAACTTGTACTATAGGTTTTATTATTTTTACTAGAAAATATAGAAAATAAGTACTAATTTAGGTAAACATTTATCAACCAACATGAGCTTTTTCTATGCAGTGAGGTTATAAGAAGACAGAAGATTTTAATAAAAATGGAAAGTACTCTGAAGGAAGGTTTTCTAACTTCTGCTATTTTCTTATCAGAATACTTCTTTTGGGGAACCAGCAGTTAGCATAATGGCTATGTCCCTGGACTCCCATGTAGTCGACCGCGGTTCGCGTCCCAGACCCGGTGGCTTAAAACTCAAGCTGGGCGTGTGTGCGTGTGTGCGTGCGTGCCCAAGATCCCAAGAGGAGAATGGAGGAGAAGGGATTGCGGCGTGACCATCCCCCCTGGGGGGTGATTTCTCGCTTTCTGTCTGTCTGTCTCTGTCTGTCTGGCGAGTGCACACGTCCTATAGCAAAAACCGCTCAAAAAAAAAAAAAAAAAAACTTCTTTTGCATTAAGCTACATAAAAAGAGACTTTTCCTTACAGGCTAGGATTCCCATTTCTTCCTACTTCCCCCCTTAAAAAAGAAAAAATAATTTATTTCAAAAGCAGTAAGTCAAGGAAAATAACATACTTATCAGATTTCCTTTGGCATCTCTGAGAGGAGCACCACCTCCACCTTTCCCCCAGGGGTTATAACTTTTCATTTCAGCTTCCAATTTCGCTTCATATTCTTCTTTTTCTTCTCGTTCTTTCTTCCTTCTTTCTTCTCGTTCCCGAATCTTGACAACATAAGATATATTTAAAGTAAATGCTGACAAGTATTCTGATACAAAAGGTTAGTAATAAATTATTTTACTTTCTTTTTTTTTTTTTGGAGAGGTTTTTGCTATAGGGCATGTGCACTCACCAGACAGATAGAGATACAGAGAAAGACAGAGAGATAGAAAGCGAGAAATCACCCCCCGGGGGGATGGCCACGCCGCACTCCCTTCTCCTCCATTCTCCTCTCGGGATCTTGGGCACGCACGCACACGCGCCCGGTGTGAGTTTAGGCCACCAGGTCCAGGACTCGAACCACGGTCGACTACGTGGGAGTCTAGCAACATAGCCATTACGCTAACTGCTGGTCCCTACTTTTCTTGACAGAAGGAAAAAAAGGGTTTTTTTATTTTTGTTTTTTTGTTTTGTTTTAGTATAGTTCACTATAACACTTAAAATCACAAACACATGTAATAGTAATCAAATTAAAAATACTTTGATGCCTGGAGTCTATAGCTGCTGTTCCCACATATCATGCCATCAAGGCCTTTCTAGCCACCAAAGCCACTTGATATTCAAACTCCACCCCTCCCTGCCCCAACTTCTGCCAGAGGTATTCCCTCCTTAACCTTACCAGGTCCATGGAACCATCTGGAGTGCCTTCTTTCCTTTTTCATTCATCCCTTCATAGGAACTGCCCAGCCCAAATCTACTCTCTACCTCACCAGACCTACTCTCCCTGAGCACACACTATTCCCAGATGCAAAGAACATGAAGGATCAAAGTTCTTTAGAGAATGCTTGGCTAACTTAAGTACAGCTTTATTAAAGCACACACAAAATACATTCTTCCCATCGCCAAGCACAAGAAAAGAGTTGTTCTCTAGAGACTCGTGGAGAGGCAATAAACACATATTTACATTTTGGATACCTTCTCCTACACCAACTCCATTCCTGAATATTCCAGGAATTTCTAACCAATTCATCATAAAATTTAACATGTAGCTCAAATAGTGGAAGACAATTATTTTCCCTATCTTACGCTTGCAAGAACATGTCAATGGATCCACTGAACTTATACTAAGTTATAATTAACTTTTTCTTCCTCCTTTCCAGCCATACTCTAAGGGATCATTGTGCTAATCCATAAGATGTTCAACAATAAACCAGGGGTCCCTGGAATCAGATCACACAGCAGGAGTTGAGCGTTTCATCTGTATTTACAGCTCCTTCCTGCTGCTCATATTACTGTTCAAACTCTGCCTCCTGTCAGACTGTCATAGGTACTCCCAGAGGAACCATCAAGTCGCAGGAAAACAAGTTAAGGGCTCCCACTGATTCTACATTATGGTTAGTTGTATAATTATTTCATTATATATTACAATGTAAAAATAATAAAATGCAAAATAAACATAATACATTTTAATCTTCCTGAAACCACCATCGCCTCCCCCCAAGTCCATGGAAAAATTGTCTTCCATGAAACCAGTCCCTGGTACCAAAAAAGTTAGGGACTGCTGCATTAAACAAATGAATAAATGAATAATACCTGCTGCTGCAAAGCTTCTTGGTAAGACTGAAGTGACTGTTTTGAAGGTTTTGGTTTATCTTCAAAAAATAATCCTGAATTTATCGCTCGATCACTTGTAATTTTCAGCTCATTCTGTCCAATTGTATTCCTACATCAAATACAGAAATAACTAATTAAGCAAGAAGAAAATGCTACATTACTCTCAAATAGCATAGCACATAAATACATAAAAATTAGGTGAAAGAGGTATCATAGGTCAAAAAATAATCCTTAAGTGACCCCTTTCTAAACTCTCTCCTCCTGCCTTTGCTTGGAGAATCCATGGTACTTTCAAATTTACTGGATCTAGGGGCCAGCAGGTGGTATGGTGGTAAAGGTGCTAGATTCCCACATGGCTGACTGTGATTTGAGTCCCAGACCTGGTGGCTTGAAAATCTTATCAGCTGCACATACATGAGTGCCAAAATCCTAGGAGGAAATGGAGGAGATGAGACTGCAGCATGGCCATCCCCTCTGGGTAATGATTTCTCATTTTCTCTCTTACTGTCTTTCTCGGTCTCTCTCCAGGAAGTACAAAAACCCTTATGGCAAAATTTTAAACAAAACAAAAACAGGGGCCAGCAGGTGGTGTGATGGTTGGAGCACTGGATTCCCACATGGACAACTGCGGTTCAAATCCCAGACGTGGCAGCTTGTTTTCTCACTTTTCCTCTTGCCCCCCACACCCATCTCTTTCTGGTGAGTATATATGCTCTATAGCACATTTTAAAATAACAATATTAAATTAAATAAACAATTCTAAGAAAAAAGTACTATATACATATTTATTTTTATCTTAAGACCTATATCTTAAGCTATGTAATGGTTACACATGAATGAAAACATTTGGTGATAATTTAGCAAGCAGTACACCTATGACTTGAGCACTTTTCTGAATATACAAAACTAAGACTCTGAAAGTAACTCAAGAGACACATTAAATAATGATTTATTTAATAAATATTTACTTAATAAAATTACTTCTTAGCCATTTAAAAAATAAAAGAATTACAGTAAAAAGTATGACTGTTCCAAATAAGAAAAAAAATCTGAAAAACCTACAAAGAAACAATTTAATTATTTTATTTGATTTTATTCATTGTCATTATTTTATTTTTATTATTGTTTTTGTTATTATTATTATTATTATTAAGTTGACAAGAGAGAGAGAAAGAAAGTGAGAAAGCAAGCTGCCAGGTTCAGGACATGAACTGTGGTCAGCCATGTTGGAGTCCAGCTGTCTTAACCACCATGACACCTGCTGGACACCCACTAAAAATTTTTAAACAATGTGGTTACATAAATCACAAGAAATAATCTTTTTTTTTTTCCTAAAGAGATTTTTTTACAATGGCGTGTGCACTCGAAGAGACAGAAAGTAAGAAATTAACACTCAGAAGGATGGCCACACCACAATCCCTTCTCCTCCATTCTTCTCTCAGAATCTTGGGCATGCAGGCACATAAGCCCAGTGTGAGTTTCAAGTTGCCAGATCCAGGATTCAAACTGTGCCAACTACATGGGAGTCTAACAAACTAACCCTTATGCCATCTGTTGGTCCTGAGAAATAAAATGTTTTAATGTTTAAGTCAGAGAAATACATCTATTTTGAGGATGATAATACATTTTAAAATCTAAATTATAAAAACTAAACCCAAATAGTAATTTGATAGAATTACTTTATAAAAGAGAAATCATAAAAGCCTTGGCATTTCCAAAATACCACTTTAAATAATGAATTTCCTTTGTGTACTGAACTTATCCAACTTATTTACAATCTTTCATTAGGCTAAACAAGTATGTTTGTGTATATAGGTTGAGCATCTCATATAAAAATCTAAAATCAGAAATGTTCTAATATCTAAAACTTTTTGAGAATCAACATGACACCACAAGTGGGAAATTCTCCATGTGACTTCATGTAATGGATCACAGTGAAAACGCTGCAGCATAAAATTACACAGGCCAGGGACCAGCAGCTGGTGTTATGGCTGTGTTGCTGGACTTCCATGTAGTACACCGTGGTTTGAGTCCCGGACCCGGTGGCTTAAACTCATGCCAGGCGTGTGTGTGTGTGTGTGGCCAAAATCCCGAGAGGAGAATGGAGGAGAAGGGATTGCAGTGTGGTCATCCCCTCTGAGGGGTGATTTCTGGCTTTCTGTCTCTCTGTCTCTCTCTGTCTTTCTGGTAAGCACACGTGCCCTATAGCAAAAAACTCTCAAAAAAAAAAATTACACAGGCTATATGATAAAGTATATACTAAACAAAAATAAGTTTCATCAAATCCTCAAGATTGTGTACATGCAAATATTTCCAAATCTGAAAAATATGAAATTCACTTCTGGTCTCAAGCATTTTAGGGAAAAACTGTACCTATATAAGAAAAAGGGAAGAATGAAACCAGAACAAATGGTTCCCAATTAATTGTTTACTTTTTAAGAGCAAAGGGATTCTTTGTATATAAATTGATAGTGAAGACTGAGAATTTACCTGAGTAATAAACTCAATCTCTAAAAATATACTGGCTATATTAACATGGTGAACACATTTTTCTCAGTATCTATTTTTCCCATTATCCTTCTTTTCTCCCATCTCTCTCTCACAGACCAAAATTTTTGGCCTTTATAAACTCCTCCCTTGACCAAAAAATGAAAGGGTTTAAAGATATATGTAGTTAGAATAGGAAGGCAGGAAGGGAGGAAATTGTAGGGATAGTATGTATATAATTCAGTGATTTTTAATAAACTCACAGTAATATAATCATAACCAAGCTCCAATTTTTTTTAGCATTTCTATTACCCCAAAGTATTCCTTTCACCCACATGCAACTAATTACTCCTACCCCTACACCCTCACGTAATCACTAAGGATTCTGCTTTCTGTCTTTATAGATTTGCTCCTCAGATATTTTATATAAATAGGATCATATAATACGTTCAATTTCTTCACTTAGCATAATAGCTTTAAAAATGTATTTTTTTTTTTGAGAGGTTTTCGCTATAGGGCGTATGCGCTCACCAGACAGACAGAGACAGACAGAGAGACAGAAAGCGAGAAATCGCCTCCCAGGGGAGATGGTCACACCGCAATCCCTTCTCCTCCATTCTCCTCTTGGGATCTTGGGCACGCACGCACATGTGCCCAGCGTGAGTTCTAAGTCACCGGGTCCGGGACTCGAACCATGGCTGACTACGTGGGAGTCCAGCGACATAGCCATTACGTTAACTGCTGGTTCCCCAAAAATGTATTTCTTTCTTCCATGAGCAAGATAGAGAGAGAAGGTGGGAAAACACAGGCATATCCTCAACAGAGCCCTTCACACCACAATCTACTTCCCTGCTTCAGCCAGGCCCAGATCAGGAGCAGATAAGCACCCAACATGTTCAGAGGGGAGGTCTGTGGAGGCAAATCCAGAACCGTCCCATGTGGGTCAGACTTACAGAGCATTAATAAATCGCTGTGCCACCATCCACTCCCCCAGTTCGGCTTAGTATTTCCAAGGTTATTTCACACTGGAGCAGATATCACTAGTCCTTTCCTTTGTACTGCTAGAATTATTCACTTTTTAATTGTTATGAATAATTCTATGAACATTTATACATGTCTTTGTACATACATGTTTTTAGTTATCTTGATTATATACTTAGGGGACAAACTGAAATGTCTACCTTTTTACGAAACTGCCATTTTGGGAGCCATCCAGTGGCACAGTGGTTAAGGTAGCCAGATCCCACATGGCCAACTACATGATGTGAATCCCAGACCCAGCAACTTGAAAGGCATGCTGGGAACGTGTGCATGTATAACCCAAATCTTGAAAAGTGAATGGAGTAGAAGGGACTATAGAGTAGTCATCCTCCTTCAGGAGTGATTTCTTATTCTCTCTCTCACTCTCTCTCCCCAGTGACTGCACATGCTCTATAGAAAACATTTTAAAAATAACTTTAAAAAGAAACTGCCATTTCTTGTAATTGCTTTTTAGATAATGATTTTTGTATCTAATAATTGTGCTAAAATTCTTTTTAATTCTAATATTTATTTATTGTTTATTCCATATTTTCAAAAAAAAAAAAAAAAAAAACGTGTTTTTTTTTTCTCTCATTTTTAAAATTTTTGCTAGAGAGGCCCTGTGTACTTAGCCAGAGAGAGACAGTGAGGGAAAGCGAGAAAGCCCTCTCCCTATAGGGGATGGTCATGCTGCAATTCCTTCTCCTCCATTTCTCCCTCCAGGGATTTTGGGCACACAAGCATGTATAGGCGCCTCGCATGTTTTGGGGGAGGCGCTCAGAAACCGTCTGCGTCCTCTATTCCATCTTTGCAAAAAAAAAAAAAAAAAACGTGTTTTTTTTTTCTCTCTCATTTTTAAAATTTTTGCTAGAGAGGCCCTGTGTACTTAGCCAGAGAGAGACAGTGAGGGAAAGCGAGAAAGCCCTCTCCCTATAGGGGATGGTCATGCTGCAATTCCTTCTCCTCCATTTCTCCCTCCAGGGATTTTGGGCACACAAGCATGTATAGGCGCCTCGCATGTTTTGCAAGCCTCCGAGTCTGGGACTTGAACCTCTCAGTTGCCCACATGGGATCCAACAACCTTAATTACTATGTCACCTGCTGTCACAGAATTTTCATATTTATACTTTATGTTTTACACTTGCATGTTTATGCTTACTTAGGTAACATAGGTTCCCTAAAGTACTTTAAAATTTTAATCACTAATGAGTAGTGAAATCTCTTAGTGCTTTTTCTAATTTATTGAGATTATTACAGTTTTCCTATTTAGTCTATTAACAGTATGCTAATGGTAATTAATTTTATAATATTGGTTATCTCCAACACTAATCAGCTCTTAGTATCTATCTAACGTTGTTCTTGACACTTTACATATTTTAAGTCATTCAATCCTCAGTAACAACCCCATGCATCGATATCATTATTATAAAACTACCAGACAAGGAACAAAAGTTAAATGTGTTTCAGGCTAATGAGTAATAAGACCAGGATTCACATAAAAGAAATCTTGTTGAATGCCTATTCTAGTTTGTTTTGTTTTGTTTTGAGAGGTTTTTTGGTATAGGGCACGTGTGCTCGCCAGAAAGACAGAGAGACAGAGAG